ATATATATATGCAATAAATGTGAAAGCCTTTATATATCTATGGGTAAAACTGCATGAAGTCTTTGGGTGAAGCAGAGCCCTGTAAAACCAAACATATCACACAGAGAACGCGAGCGCGCAAATCAGTGTATTGTCCCTCGGCAGCTCCTGTACCTTCCTCACCAAGTCAGGAAGTTTCATTCATTTTTGTTCTGTTACAATTCCTGCTTCAACTTTTTAAAGATTTGTTGCATTTCAAAATGCGTCGGAGACCTGAAGCCCAGGCAGCAAGCAGCGAACCTGGAAACGTTAGTAAAAAGGTAACACAGAATTTTAGCTGCGGAAAACTGCGCGCAGTAGTAATTAAGTTTGTTAAAACAACAAAAGAAGTACTAGCTTATAAAATCAGCTAAAACATTTATCCGTTTTTAGTTTTATTGTTCGCTGAATATTTTCTTACAACGCTTTTGTGTAGCATTCAGCAGTAGCATATCCATCAATTATACTCATTAAAAAAAAAATCTGCCGATTTACCCATAAAATAACTTACAACTTTAAAGATGATCAATATCTAGTTTCATTTTATACACATACCCCCACCCCCACCCCATTTATTATTTTGCTAATTTATAAAACATAGTATAAAATAAAATAAATAAAAACAAAAATTAAAATAAAAACAGATAAGGATTTGAAAACAAGTCATTTTCAGTGGAGCATGATTACATTTTTGCTGGGAGACCAGGACTGTCCCACCCAAATCAGGGCATTTAGCAGGTATGTAATGGCAACATAAAGTTGTTAACAGATGGTACAAATATATAATTCCTAAAAAGTGTTGGCGGACCATCCCTCCCTCATATATCCAAACCTGCATCTCATTTCTGTTTTGCTGAAGAGCTGGTGCCTGTCTCCATCAGAGAGGCGGGGGACACCCAGGACAGGTCACATGTCCATCACAGAGACAAGCAACCACTCACTCACAGCCGGCGAACTTCAAACTCTTCACAGAAAAACTCCAGGCCGGGAGTCGATACAGCAACCTTGTCACTGAGAGGTGACAGCTCTAACCGCTGCACCACCGTGCTGCCCATGTTACAAGGAGTTAAGTTAATTAGCAGCTTAGGGAGGCTGAATCTCTCAGACATAACTATGGGCAGAGGTTCACCATCCTGCAAAACAGTGCATCTAAAAATAATGGAACATTAAGAGAACAATGTTTCCTCAGTGGGAGAACGGGAAGCCTTTAAATATCCCTTCATCTGAACTAGGGATGCACGATATATCAGCATTAACATCAGTATCAGCCGATATTGGTCATTTGTTTAGAATATCGTATCGGTCCGATAAGGAAAACTGGGCCGATATTAATGTCCAATATGGATTTCCCACTTTTTAGCTTTGTATTTCTGTTTTGGGAGGGGAAATGGTTGGTCGAGTGGTATATGTTAGTGATGCTGCGCAGCCAGATATAACTGAAGTAGAGAGCCATGTCAGCGGTCTGGTCATTTTTTTAATGGTATTGAAAAAAAAATACAAGTATATTTGTGTGTATATGTATATAAATAATTAGTGTGTTTGTGTAATATTGGTAAATATCAGTTATCGGCCATAACCCCAATAATAATATCGGATATTGATATCAGCTGAAATTTTCACATCAGGGCATCCCTTTTCTTGACTAAAGATAATTTAAAATGGACTGATGCAAATTTTAAAATTGTTGTGTGGTCAAACAAATCAAAATGCCATGTCTTTTATACAAAAACGGAGAGGGATACATCCTCTGGCCTGTTGTTAGTGCATAGCTCCAAAGCCCGCCTCGCTGATGCTGTGTGGGTGCATTAATGTCTTTGGCACTGGCACATATAGAAAGGATTCATCAATGCAGAGAAGTATATACAGTACATGTTTTAGAACGTGTTCTCCCATCAATCAACGAAGACCCAGGAACAACATCAGACAAGAATGGAAAAACGTTCTCCTCCAAAAGCTCCAGTAGCTGCTCGCAGACATTTACAGTCTGTAGGTCAAAGAAGAGGGGCTGTTTCATAGCACTGAACATGACCCTGACATGGTTTTAGACACATGTTGCTGCCATCAAAGTCAAAGTTACCCATTTCTTTTTCTCTAAAAAATTATACACTTTCTTAGTTTCAACATTTTGTTCTGTTTTTACATTTTAAGCATTGTCTAAACCATTTTGACTATGGGATTGTATTTAAAATGTGGCATTATGTGTGTTTGTATTTTTATGAAAATAAAAATCCAGATGTTCACCTATAATGTGTTATTTTCTCTTTGCCTAAATTAGGATGGAGACCAAAGAGCGGGGCGCCCGGCTGAAGCTAAAMGCAGTGTGTTTTTCAGCTCCCTTCTCCTAAACTTTGGAAAGTTTCTACTTTTAATCATCATTGTTCCCCCCTTCCTAAATTACGCATCTCTGCAGGGAGAAGGACGGATGCTTTTTCCAACAGGTTGTCTTGTCAAAGTTTGTGAAATACATTTGTTTTGACAGTTTCATTTGGTGTTAATTTTACTAAATAGATTTGGGTTTTGATGTATCGAATCAATATTGTTTTTCTATTTTTCATTCAGATGGACAGCTTGTTGATATTGGTTTGGGTCAGAARATGCATCTTCTGTGTAAAGGACAAGGAAAACCAGTTGGTAATAAACACTCCACTAGTTTAACTTGTTTGTGTTGGTAAATAAAGTGTTAACTAGTCTGCTTTTCTTTAGTTATACTGGATGCACCGACTGGAATGTCAGCAGATATTTGGTTTCATGTCCAAAACAAAGTTTCCTCTTTGACAAAGGTGGGAGTTGAACATGCTTTATTTTGCACAACATTTTATAAACACGTGTCCTAAAACTCAGAAAAGGGAGATTTCTGTAAGTTAGCAGTGAAACGGGTGTGAGGTAAACTGGTGACCCCTGAGCCACTGTGGCCGTGTTGATTGATGCTTGTTGTTGTCGGGGTCGTGCAGACGCACTCCCCGCAGCAGGCCTGTCACATCTTCTTTGCTCAACATAACTCAGCTCAGCAGAAGTTGTGCCCCATGTTGGAAATCGTTGAGTCAAATTAGGTCACRTGCTTTGGAACAACTAAACTCCCGAAGCATAACAAGAACAACTTGGCCAGTTTGCATTTTTGAAGTCTTTTGAAGAGTGAGGCTTTGAAATTTTAATGAAATGTTTTTTTAATTTAATTTAATTTTTTTGCACAAATATATGCTGTTAGTTATAAAAAAATGACCCGAGTTGTCCCTGTTTCAGGTTTGTACCTATGACAGAATGGGACTGGGCTTCAGCAAGCGGCTGATGCAGAATGAAACAACAGGAACAGAGAAAGTCTGGGGCATGTCTACAACCGGACGGTGGGTATAATCTTTTGGATTATCTGTTTTATTATCATGAGTTTGTTTCTGAATAAGTGAGTGGGTTGATTCTCACTGTCRGTGTGGAGAGAGACCACTATTCTCTAGAGCAGTATTTCCCAAAGTTGGGGTCGGGACCCAAAGTGGCGTCCCGAAACATCAAGGTGGGGTCCTGAAAATATTTTCGGAAATAGTTACATTTTTGTCTTAGTTGTTACAAAGGAGTGAGGTTAGTGTATTTAAAATGGATAAATGTAGTATAAAAATATTGTTACTATGCCCATGTTTTGTTGACCTGATACAAATGTTTATCATCCAAAAATATCTGGTGGCACAGGTCTCTGCTACTGTTATTTTGTGGGTCAAAAGCTGGAAAGTTTKGGAACCACTGCACTTTGGTTCCCAAAGTTGGGCTTGGGACCCAATTATGGGTCATGAAGYACCTTGGATAATCTCCAGAAATCAATTTAAAGGGTAATAAAATAATTGCTGATGTAATATTTTCCCTATATCTATTACAAAAACACACAAAAAAGTAGAAATAAGTATTTGTATTTGTGTACAAGCTGTTTAGATTGTCAAAAAGCCTGTGTTTTTAGGGTTATTAACAAAGTTCGTGTCAGACCAGTAATATTTGGGGTCACAAGTTTTTGCCATGGATATTTTTTGGGTCAKAAGATAAAAGGTTTGGGAACCACTGCTCTAGAGCATCGCTTACAGTTGTGTTCAAAATATTAGCAGTTTGTTTAAAATTGTGAATAAAACTCAAAATCCTTTTAATAATTTGTATTTTAATGCCTCAGGGAACAGTGCACATTTTATTAAAAATCAAACCGTGAGGAAATATGCATCAATTTTTAAATCCCTTTACATAAAATGAAGAAAATGTTCAAAAATAAAGCAGCATCTGCGTTTTTCTTTACTCACTCAAATATTTACTGTATAAATTGGAAAAAATCTTTATGATTTATCATTCCTGTGCATCACTAAACTAATATGTGACACATCACATCAAACCAAGGATTAGGTCAAATGTGGTCAGAATGACCTCAGCACATTTTCAGATTCCTGCATTTGAAGCTACGTTTTGAGACTTGGATCATCCTGATGTCATGGGCAGTTCCAGATATATGCATTTATTTGTCTTGTTAATGACAATGAAACTTTAATATTTGCTCTGAATGCTATTTTAGGTTATTCTAATTAGGAATTTTTGATATCCCTTTAAGATAAGATAAGATAAAATAAGATAAGATAAAATAAAACTATTAATCCCACAGTGTGGAAATTTGCACTTTACTGCAGCTCAGTACAGGAGAGGGTGAGAAGAAAGAAAGATAAATAAAAGAAAAACAAACAAACAAAAAAAAAACACTATACACATGTGATATACATATAATGTACATCACACTATACACATGTGATATACATATAATGTACATATACCAATGCACATATACACATAAACTGTATAGTACAGTAAATAAATAAATGAATGTGTATGAAGGTGCAAATTAAAGAGGAAATTTTAAAGAGGAAACCTATTTGTATAGTAAAATTTACCAGCTGGAAAAAGAAAAAGCTTTGCCACCACTCAGGGAAAAAAATCAACAATTTAAGGTGTTTTTGCTCAAAATGATTTTTTTTGTTGCTACTTCTCAAAAAAAGATAATAAAACAATTATTTAAAATTATATCCTGATGCATCTCAGTAATCCAGGTAGAAAAATCAAAAGAAAAAATGAGTAGTTCCTCTGTACGGGTTTTGTTTCATTAAAGAAGAACCTGTCCAAAGGACCTACTTATTTTTTTCTTTTTGTTTGTTTTATTTAAACTTATATTTCAAGTAATCCATTGATAATGCATTTATTCATTATATTTTGACTAAAAGCAATTGTTGTAAACCTTTTAAGCAATGCACTATGGTTACTTATATTTGCACATCCTGCTGTGTGTTCAATATGTTGGGTCAAATTTAGCTGTATAACCACTGTTTACTGAGAACTGTATCACATCTGTGTTGCATGGAATCAACCAGCTTCTGGCACGTCWAAGTTTGATTTCACAGTCTCCCATCCTGAGCAGCATGTTGGTCAGTGGAAAGAAACGACCTCCTTTGAACAGGAAGAAACCTCCAGCAGAAGCGAGCTCAGGATGGAAGGTCATCTGCCTCAGCCTGAATGAATCATCACAAGATTTTCAATAAAAATCCAAACTGGCCTTTGGGAAACCAAAACCAAAATTTGTTCATAGCAAATTTAGTTTTTGAGGAAACAAAATTGGAGAAACAAGTGAATCAAATGCTCTCACACTATTTTAAAGTTAGACCTTTGACGTTAACGTGTTATAATATTTGTTAAAAACTAGTTTTTAAATAATTTTCTGTTTAAAATGTTGATAATTTCCAGTTTAACTTTTTTATATTCATTTTAAACTTGTTTTCAGTTTTTCTTACCTTTGGGATGTTTATGCTGCCACCATCAACACTGGTGAGTTTTAGTTTTTCAGGGAAGAGAAACAAAAKAACAACTTGTTTATAATCTGCTTGCAGATGTGTTTTATGCTGAGCACATCGCTCAGCTCTGTCCTGCCCCGATCCGCCTCCAGATCAGATTATAATCTTCCCGTTTCCGGCATCCCAACACATTTGTCCTGCATTTAATCTGCCTAAGACATGAGCAGGCGTGGTTCACAGACAGTGTCTCGTTACCTTGGCATGTGGCCAAGGTAGGGCTCGTTTGCCTGTCTGAGATGAAAGCAATCAATTTCCCAGAATGCAATATGTTTGATGACCGCCAAACCTTAACCCTGAGAGTCTTGTGAAATCTCCTCATTCCAGTTTGACACTTCAGGTTTGATATTTATTAGCACAACAAACCCAGAACAGCAGATGGCTGTTTGAGCAGAGCTGCTGCCCCCTCGTCTAATGATCATGATGATGATGATGATGATGATGATGATGATGATGATGATGCCCCCCCACCACAAATGATTTAAGTTTGTTGGGGATTTTCTGTTTGTGTTTAGCGCTGGAAAGAAGCCAAGAGTCCAGTCTTTCTGCTGCTGTTTGGGTTTTAGCACCACTGTCAAAACCTGTCAATAAGCATATTCTGAATAGGAGGGATTATCTTTGGCTCGTTATGTTCATCTTTCATGTTGGAGGTCCCAGTGCCACCTGGCTGCATGCAGAAACCTCCTGACCCAGTTTGCAGCCCGTCCTGGTTTTGCGCAGGGACTGATGAGTGATGCTGTCTTGCAGGATGGTGGATGATCTGCACCGACTCCTGCAGGCTGCAGGGATCGCCGCGCCCTTCATCCTAGTTGGCTCTGAGCTCGGAGCGTTCAATGCCAGGTTCTACAGCCACATTCATGATGTGTAAGTACTCTGTCATGTAAGAAAAGTTAAGGTTTTAGATCAAGAGTATATTACTTTTTATAAGATGTGAATAATTAGATTTTTATACTGCCTTAGGAAATATTTTAGTGTGTGGAGAAGAAAGTATTTGCATGAGGTTAATAAAGACAGATGGGATCAGAGTCTATGCTTCATGAATTAGAAACAAATTTGAAAATGGGGGGTATTATGTATTTCTCAGGCACATAGTTCAACTCTATACCACAATCAAGTAATTATGTTACCTTCAGTTGTTATGAAATTCTGTATCAAAACTAGCTTATCCAAACACATTGAAATTGGCCTCTGTCCCTTTAAGAACCTCCTACCATTTTAAACACTCCCACTGGGGCTCAGCGACTCTTGGTGATTACTGGTTTAATGCTGGTGTTGTACGAAATTCAGTTCCCCTGTGAAAATCTGTTTCCCCGTGTGGGAAGCGCCTCCCTCATAGGATTGGTCTGACGTTATGCCTGGACCAGTGATTCTCTCTAAGGTTAACCACTAGGGGGAACAGATTTTCACAGGGGAACTGAAATTCGCACAACACCGGTAGGGCTGGGCGATATGGCCTAAAAATAATCTCCATTTTTTTCATCCCAAATTCGATTTTCGATTTTCGATTTTAATCGATTTGCATCGTTCCTTTGTTTTCTTAAACACAAATTACAGAAAATATTTTTTAAAAACTCTCTTTTATTTGATCCATCCCTTCTGGGAGTTGACCTTAATTCAAAGTTCAACTAAATACAAGCTATAAATCATGCTAGTAAAACAACATGGCAGGTCCCACYATTGTAAACAATGAAAATATAAATAAAATATTTGCAGCTTCAAAGCTAGTTTGAAAATTAGTGTAAACAAAATTAACAGTCCTGTTTAAAATATACATTCAAGCAAAGTCAGTAAGTACATTCTTGATGTCTTTTTTTTTTCCCCACACGTTTTTGGCAAGGAACATTAGCCTGTCTACTGCATCTTCATGCATACCCTGTGGCTTAAACAGAAAATACAAATTACAGAAAATAAACTCAAAAACTTTCTCTATTTGAATCATCCTTCAGGGAGTTGATTTGAACTCAAAGTCCAACTGTGCAAATGGTCTAATAGTGTTTGTTTAGTATTGGGCATAAGGTCACTGTGGTTAGTCTTCGCATGGGTTCTAAGGGGGGAAATAAAGTTGTATCGAGGGGGTTTTAAGGTCAAGTGAGGGGTTGGTTAAACTGTATCATTTTCTGCCGTGAACCTCACCTAGTTGGGGACTCCGTTATTASCTGATGAGGGGGCAGACCTAGCTCAGCCTGTACTTCAGCCATCTCTCTTCTTTTTTTCCAACTATAGGAAAAAGCAGCAGCAGCAGTAGCCTTTTTACAAACCCCGATGGCACGTTCAATCCGTGGGTCCTTCACTTTCTGTAAAATAATGAAAACATAAATGGATCAGTTTTACTGTAATAATGAGATACATTAAACATCTTAAAAAAAAAAAAAAAACCCAGAAAAAAAATTAAGAATTAAAATTTTCAAATTTAATTGATTCATTTATTTTCCAGATTTCAACATTTTACAACTGTAGCCACATACAGACACACAGACCATAGACTGGTCTGACATCAGCTGCACTTTGTGTAAATACTGTAACAGTTTATCAAATTTTTAAGGTGTTTTATATTTTTAATGTTGTCCTCTGATGATGATATTCTTTTAGTGTTTTTAATTTCTGTCTGCATTTCTAGAGTGCGTTCTGAATCTCAACAAAAAATTAATTATTAATGATTCTTAACATACTCACTCACGTTACATAGACCCTCATGATGAGTGCAAATATTATAAAAAAGACAATAAACAGATTAGATTCTTACCTATGGCATTATGTAGTTTATGACCAAAGCACTGGAGGTTTGGCCACCTGATGTCTTTCAGAGCTTTAATGATGTTTGTGCCGCTGTCTGTTGTCATACAGACGAGTCGGTCTTCAGGAAGGTTCCAGGAGTTCAGAGCTTCTTTTAATCCCTCTGCGATTACTTCACTTTTGTGATCATCAGGGAAGTAAGCCGTTTGCAGACAAATACTTTGTAGAGCCCAGCTTTTGTCAACAAAATGCACGTTAAATTCATATACGGCTCCATTGTTCGACTGGACCATAAGTCCGTTGTTGCAGAAAAAAAACGCACATCCTCCAGCACGTTCGATATCTTTTCACGCGTGTTGTTTGTTGTAAAGGTGTGGCAAGGAAACTTTGGTGAAATATTTGCGGCTAGGTAGCACATACCTCGCGTCCAAAGTTTTCAGCAACTGAATAAAGCCGGGTTTTTCCATTGTATAAATAGGCACCATATCTTTTGCGATGTAAAACGTGATGGCATCTGTGATGGCTTTCCACCAGGCACTCGTCTTTTTCTAGGGAATGCAGTTTGAAAATGATTCCCCCAAGGTAGCTTGTCTTTTGGCGGTGCTGCTTTTTGGGCTGCTGCTAGCTTGAGTTTGTCATAAAGAGCAGCTTTTCTCCCACTCCACAGAGTGCCTCTGTTTCAGGTGTTGAAACAAGTTTGTCATACTCCAGCTTTTGGTAGCAACAGCCTTCAAACAGATTTTGCAGCGAGCTATTTGTTGCTCTGAGTCCACGGTTACGAAACCGAACCAGTTCCAGATAACTAAAGACACAGTGCCTTTTTTGGGAAGTAGTTCCTCTTTGCTAGTGTCCATATTGTCTGCGTCTTGAGGGACGGGACAGCCGGGGTGAAACCTAACTACAGACCTCCGAACTACGGAAGCCCCAAAGAGTGCACTCGAGGGGGGGGATCCGGATTTCCCCCAAATTAAATCGTTATACACAGCAAATTCGAATTAATCGATAAAATCGATTTATCGCCCAGCCCTAGCTTCCGGTTACAACTGTTCCATTCTGGAAGCAAAATGCAGCGTCCGAGGGCTTTCAGCGAACACGCCCACGAGTATCAGACCAATCACACAACACAAACATAGWGAGCGTGTGAGAAACTATTCGGCCAAGGCCTTGTGCCAGGAAGGGGAGGTCCTGTCGGCTCTCCGAACCAAGTGATGCAAATTTTGTCATTCAACTGTGACAATGAGCTGATTTTGACAGTTCGGAGGGAGTATGTAGAGGCCTTAAGGGCGGGTCCAGTAGTTCTTCTGTTGCAGTTTGGGGGAAATCCTCTCCTGGTTCTGCTGCAGGCATCTCCTGAGTCATCTGGACTCTGTGTTCCATCCTTTTGTCAACAAACTGTAGTTGACCTCCAAATTATGGCCTTATCAGCTAATGTTTACATTCTAATCTCCTGTATGTGCCAGAGGCTTGCGGTGTGAGATTTATTCAATAAAACATGTTATTAGTAAAAAGAAGAACTGCACTCCAGTATTATGACTCAATCCATCTGAACAGGTGTTTGCTTTTTTAGAAAAGATTGAATTTGTTGATAAAGTCTAGAGTTTTCAGCACAGAATTTCTTAAGCCACTTACAGTATTTAACCTCAGTAGTCTTTTTCATCATCCTTTTTTTCATCGACTGCCCTGCTGATGAATGTCTCCATTTCGAGATTTTGAACTTTGTTCAACAGATGATTGAAATCCTTTTTTATGATTTCTGATTATAGTTTCATGACGTCATCAGCTCCTACATGGATGGTGGGCTTCTTCACTGTCAGACACTCAGCTGTGATCTCCAGTATCTTCACTGTGAGATCAGACACCATATTATCAGCAAAGCTAAGAAACTTGGGCTGCAGAAGTGTTTAATCTCACCAGCAGCTCCATCAGATTAAACCAGCATTTCTAGGCTTGTGGCGTCTCTTTGCAAACTTGTTTTGGAGAAAGCCGTTTAGGGTGGAGTCTTGCCTTAGATCTCTCACTGGGGTTAGAAAATGAGCTTTCTGACTCATATTTCTTGAAAGGGTTTGCATCTATTTTGCAGAAAGATTACTGTGTCTTCCACTGGCTCATTATCTCTGTTTTGATAACAGTCTGCTGCTGTCTTCTCCTCAGCGCTGGGTAGAAGTTTCTCTGTAGCTCCAGCCATTCTAATTCATCCAGATGCTGCGTTCTCCCTGAGAGTCATCTTGTACCAGAGGTATTATTTGGTTTTGCGCTGTGAGAGTTCCAGGAAGGCCTGCTCTTAATAGTATTTCATGTTTAATCTTAAAGGGCCAATATTATGTGTTTCTCAGGCATACATTTAAATAGTATACCATAATAAAGTTTCTATGTCACCTTTAGTTGTTATTAAAATGCTGTTTTATGCTTAAATAGAAAATAAACTTATCTTCTCATCACTTCCTCTTCTAAACGCTTTGAAATTGGCCTCTGTCTCTTTAAGAACCTCCTTCCGCTTCTGCCCCGTCAATTTCGGTCGGGGCAGGGGGAGTGTTGCGCACGTGCGGGGATGGGTTGTTTCGCGCATTCGCTATGATGCAGTTTACTTGGCATCTGAAAATACATTTCCTCAAAAGTATTTTGAATCTGACAAGAGCTTTACTGAGTGAGAAGTAGTGGATCTCAGTAGACAGCTTAAGTTTCACTTTCACTTTTACTCTATTACTGCCGAGAGTCTGCAGGAGTCATGAGCGGGGTGTGTGGGGTGGGGGTGGAGGTGGGTGCGCTCTGCCATGAGGAAGTTCGGCTTAAAGACACATCCCATGGGCGTTTCTGGCCCCCAAAGACGTTTCTGGTCCCCACCTGTCGTTTTGCTCCTCAGCATGGCTGCCTAAAAACGCTGCAGGATTTCTCAAACATGCATGAATGAGTCAAAGCAAGGCTTTGGGCATGTTTTTTATGAGAGTGTAACATTATAACATGATATAAAACTCAAAAAAGTTGATTTTACATGATATTTCCCCTTTAACATAATTCAAAGAAAAAGTAAGCACCATGAGTGAAAACTATCTGCACTACAGCCCTTTATAGAGTCATTGGGCCAACAGATAGAATGTCTGTAAGTGGAACTCTAATGCTTCTACCCTGGACAACAGGAGATTATAACCAGCTGCTCGCAGGTCAAATCAAATGGCCATTATTGGCCCACGGTTCTCACTTTAGGCACCTCTGCATTAAACATTTCTTTGTTTTTTTTCTGTTTGTTTGAATTTGTTTTTATTTTTATTATTTACCCTTGATAGGTTTTCTGGATTTGAATTTTAAACTACAAAACAGAAAAATCAACATAGAAGACACCCCTGAATTCATAAACTGTTAATGACCTTAAGCTTGAAGCAAACATTTTAGTCTCTGTTTTTGTCTGCCTGTCTTATTAAAAGTGCTGTCAGGGAGTGAGAGACACAGCTGGAGGTAGACTGAATTAATCAGAAGATATTTGCCATTTGCATGCAGTATTTAGTATAGTATAAGTATTAATATTTCAAATGAAAGTAGGCTCATTAGGTTATGTCAGACAAAACCAAAGTGAAGTGCAAAAAGTTGCATGTATAAAATAACATTTTGCAGCAACGATAAAAGCAAGTATTAGCTGCTGTCTGTTCCCAAATCTCTGATATTTTATTTAGTCTTTAGTTTCTGTGAAAGTCAGCAAATTGCAGAACATCGATCCCATATTTTGTCTCTTCAGTTACAGGACCATTTAGTCTGGAGATGTTTTTTTTTCACCATCATCACAATTTTACACCAGAATACTGACTCCTTCAACAAATTTAGTCTTTCTGCAGCTGTGGTATATTCCGGTAATGATGGTGTTGTAATTTTTATCACCATTACAGGAATATACATTTATTACTGTTGTTTCCAACAATTTTTTTAACAAATAATAAAAATATCAATTTATTATCTATACCAGTGGCATGGTAGCTCTATTGGTAGAGCTGACCAGGATTTGATCCAGCGATCTTCTTGCTGAGAGGCCAACTGAGTCACTGTGCCGCCCATATAATAAAAATAAGAAATCTCAAAATGTCATTTTCTACAGCAATTTTCCAGATTCACATTTTGTGTAATGATGGAGAGCTAATCTGGAATATTTGATCCAAAGCTCACCAGCTATATGATTAACATATTATATGTCATCTGCACCAGTCAAAAAATTAAGGGTTTTATTTGATATAATGTTTTTGCTGTTGATGGAAAAAATGTGAAAGTGGTGTACTGATGACATTTTTTCAAATGAAAATGTCACCTCTGTGTCTTGTGTGCGTGTGTGTGTTATGCAGTACAGATCTGCAGAATGACAGGAAGTATGATGATCTCACACTCATATAACGTTGTTTAGGAGGGTAAAGTGGATTAATCTCATCAGGAAGACTTCCTTAATCTAACTGTGTGTCCTTTTGTCCTCAGGCTGGTGTCAGACCTGGTGCTGATCGATCCCATTCCAGAGACCATTTTTGAAGACGATCAGTGGAAGGAGTACTGGTGAGTTTTTATTTAAGACTCTTGAATGAAAGAAAAATGTTAAAAACAAGCTTTGGAAGCAAAGCAGATGAACAGAGTGGAGGAAATAGTTGCAAAAGTTGTGAAATAGAAAGGAAGTAGTGCAAGTGGGAAAAGTCTATTTCATGAGTCCTAACTGATCATTTTATTTCTTTTAACTTTAATAGCAAARCCATTTGATTATCTTTGATGGGTGGGGCTTATTATCACTATTAATTGGAGCTCAGACTGTATTTTACTGGCTGGGAAGAGAGAGAGGTGAGCAGGACTGAGTTAGAAAAAGTGCAATAATGCTTCTTTATTTCCACAGTCAAGATGTGTGAAGTGTTGCTCAGTGTTAGAGCTCATTTTTCATTATCCAACAATTATCATACATAACTAAGTGAAGTGTTGATAACTGAAAGTGCAGAGGAGGCCTGTTGATAAAAATGTCACGCGACGGAACATTAACAGTATTTTCAGTTGTTAGGAAGTACAGCTTGTTGTGGTGATTAATAGTTACACCACTCAAGATGTTTCTGATCATAATGTGACAAACCACTACAAGGTTTTAGATGGCTTTAACAGCATAGCAGTGATGATGAAATAAACCTCTTGGTTATATTTTTGAAAGTTTTTCTGAGTTTCTACCTATTATTTGTCTTAAAGGCACAGTGTGTAGGATTTGTTGTTTTCAGCGACGTCTAGTGGTTGAGTGGTTGAATC